TTTAGTTATGGAGTTTAATTTACGGTAATCAATAGCGAATCTCCATCTTTTTGGATGCGTCAAAGGATAGTCATTATTTTTCTTACATAAAACCACCGGGCTAGCATAACTACTTGAGATGGGCGTTATGATCTTTTTACGTAGCATATCGGTAATATGCCATTCTATAATTTTTTCCTTATTCTTATCATACCGGTATGGTTTTTTGACGAACTGGCATTGCATCTCCGGTGTCAATACTATGGTTAGTAACCTGAGTAAATCCTGAAATATCACTAAATAACGAAGCAAATTCACTTACCACTTGTCAGATTCTTCCTTGCTCGTCATTAGGGAGGTGGTCAAGTTTTAACATCGGCGGTTCAGCGTTTTCTGTACGAACTGGTTTCACTGTCAGCTTAAGGGACGCTTCATTAAAATCCAGCGTAGCCTGTGCTTCTGAAAGAAAATCTATTCCTAAAATTAAATGTGCTTGCAGATTCTTTACTATAAAAAACATCACCTTTACTTGTTCGTCCCTTGATACGGATATACAAAGGTACTTTACCTACGCACTTACATTTTTCTCCTTGCCGCGCCGCTAACACCTGTCGTATTATCCGCATTATATATGCGGTATTTGCGAAAATACTTCCTAAAAAATGTTCTGCCACACAGGAACACTGCGCGCCGGTATCCAGGAGTTCGGTGGCTGGGATATTATTCACCAAGACTTCAATCTTCGGAAGAGTCAAATTTTTCACCATTACTGTATTTAACTTGTAGGAAGAGGGGTTTTCGTGGCCTTCGTATTTCCGCACCCTCTCGTCAGCAGAAATCCGTTTTAGTTTAAATTATTTTTCCTTTCCGTGCTTTCCTTTTTTTCCACTGGCCTTGAGACTTTTTTCCTGAGTTGCTATTGAACTGTCGACGTTCGCCGGCTGTTTTTGAATGCTCGGGTTTCCTTGCCCACTGATTCGCTTTTTCTCCGTAGCCATGTGCTTGAGTTTGCTGTAGTCTTGGCGTACCAAATTGGTTTCGCTGTTGATACTGGCGTCTTCTTTCGACGTCCGCCGTTCTTCTACTTTCAAACTGGATTGCTAGCTCAAATAACTTTTCCAGTGTAGTCGGATTTCTTAATTCAATAAAGTCTTGCACTTGGGGCAGTAACCTCGGCAAAATCACTTGAATTATTTCAGGATCCGGACGGTTTCCATACAAGAGTTTGAAAACGTGAATATTTCTTAAAATAAAGCTCGAGAGGTTTTCGATTCTTTGTTGATATATACTGAAAAGTTCCGTTTCTAATTTCGCACGATCCCTTACAACAGGGAAGGCTCTTAGTAGGGCAGTCTTGAAATTTTCGTAAGTATAGGTGGGACTTCCTGCTTGACCCAAGAGACTTCTGCCTATACATTTGAACCAGTTAAGCGCTTGGCCCCTCAAAGCGCTGGTAGCTAAGGTAACTTTTTGAAACTCGTGCACGGGGTAGAGCATGAAGTGGTCATCCAATTTTTCCAAAAAACTGGTTACCGGTGAGTTTCCCTTAAATGTTGCATCTGGTTTCATTGAAGCGCGCGCATGGTCTGGACGATGTAACCAAATCCTTCCAGGGCGGGCAGCTGGCATTTCTGGATTCTGAGCCGTTTCTGCAGGCAGCACAGGTTCTTCTTGAAACTCGGCCATGGTTATTCTTCTTCGTTGGGCGCCACTATCAGGGTCAATGTTCCTTCTTACCTTCTTCGGGAACATACAAGGATCTGACTCGGAACAGAGAGCTTACTAAAGCTATGTTCACTAATTGTGGTAAGTAGACAGGATACAGACGAAGGGTATACAAAATCCTTTATTTTTCTCTATATACAATTACTTTCCGTACTTCGGAATACACTGACCCGCCACTTGGGGTCTAACGTAAAAGTATAAAAAAATAAAAACTAAACTCTAATTTAACTTTATAATAATAAACGTGGAAGATTGGCCTTATATTAACAGGAAGGCGTATTAGTACAGACAACTGAGAAACACTACAATACGTTTAAAAAGTTATCAAGAGGATTAAAAACCTCTGGCCTGGAAGGCAACAAGCAACTGCGTAACTTCTAAGGTAAGCGGCCTGCTTCGAACTCACTGCTTCCTCTCTCTCGCTTGGCAAAAGGCCACAACTTAAATACTTGGCGTTCGCCAGACAAACTTTGCATAAAAACCTTAACGCTTATAATTCTGGCCGGAAGTAGAAAATAAGAAGTGATAGTAAAGATTTAAAATAAAATAAACGTTAGTAAAACTTAAGATCCTTACAATATCCTTAAAAGGAATAACCTCCTGTATACTGTTGCAGTTACGTGGATAAACTTGTAGTGCGGCTGGAATGTTCTCGAAATTTAAATGAAATATATCTACCTTATTTAAAGAAACTTTGTAACTGAAAATGTGTACTAAAAATAATAATTGAGAAAATAAAGTTTGTAGAGTAAACGCTCTTGTACGATATAATGGAAAAAATACGCAGAAAGAGAAATTTAGTGATTACTTCTACTTTTTTTCACAATACAATAAAGAAAATAATGAAAAAGAGAAATGTGGAAACTACATCTTGAGATCATTAATCATTTGATGCTCATAACATTATCAGATTTTTTTTTTTTTTTTTCAAAACACAGAAGTGGTGCACATAAAATATGACGATATTATAAGTAAGCAGTATTTGTTAAATGTAGAATACAACAACAAAATATTTCTATATGAGCAATGTAAAAATTACGAAATCATTCTTAAAAACTGAAATAAAATCATAATTTGATTTCTTTTGCCTTCTAAAACTATTCATATAATAAAAGAATTATTCTGACTATTAAACATAAATTATTGAACAAATTCAGAAAATCTCATCTACATAATTGAGACGCCACTTTATAGCTTCTACGTTACTCTGATACCAATAAATAAAAATTCTAGCTTCGAGATGAAGTTTGAATGAAGAAGAAAAAATTAAATTCTTAATGGATGTCAAGAAAAAACGCAATGATGTAGAAAGATAAAATTCTCTCGCCGAGAAGCCAAAAAATGGATTTCATGAAAACGAAATTATGCTAGAAGAAACACAACTATTTCAAGTAACATATAAAAAGGCAATTCACGAATTGTAAGAAAATTCCAGAAAGAAATTTGGCGGTGATGATAAAAATAGCTCATATTTTATAAAGACAAAGGTTTATTAAGGAAGCAGTGTTACTGAAAGTCATACTCCCAAGAATTAAAAATTTTAACATAAAGCTAACGCTGGATTAAACGGAAGCAACCATCTTTTCGCATTAATGAATAAATAATCGCATATACTGTACAACGGATTTAATGCCAATCTAACTTGTATAGCTTATGCATTTTAAAATTTTAAGAGGAAGTAACTATTATTTATGGTGGTGAAAATGATTAAACAGAATTTTAAGTACTATACTAAATAGTATTATGTATATTTTATTTACATAAAATTGAAACTAAATCATGAAACTTCAGCATGGTTATAGCTCATTTACAAAGTGTTCGAAATAAGTAACTGCGGCTTTTGTTTCTTTAAATGTTGACCGGAACTATAGATACAGCGAACATTATTTAAGATGACCACCGATGGTTTTGGTAATTTAGATTTTCTGCAGAACTAGTCTAGAACGTCTTAAACAGGTTACATTTAATGAAAATGTTTATTTATGTTTTCCCAAATAATGGTCAAAAATGGTCATCATAACAAAATGAGGCGACTACATATCCTTCAAATTACGAAAATTCTAAAAATAAGAAAAAAGATTTTATCAGAAAAAAGTCTCTACATTTTGGTTTAAAAAGGTTTTATTAAAAATATATATTTTATTTGATCCCAAGAGATTTGTTTTATTTGATCCCAAGAGAATAAAGTTTTCAGTTCGTATGATAATATACTGTATTTAGCTTTAGCAAGAAATTGCATATCTTTATATGAAACATTATTGAATAAGTAATTTACTGGTATAAAGCATTTCGCTTTGCCTATTAACCACAAGCGAATAGTTTTGAGAAAAATGTTGGGAGCATTTAAGGAATGGCAAAATAAACTTTGCATTTCATCTTAGTTGAAATAGTATTCAATTTTAAATTCATATCTGCCCTTTTAAAAATATTTACTCATTTATCTTGGTGAAATTTATTATTAAAGGCATGAAAATTTTGTACTTAACTGGTTAAAAAATAACAAATATTTACTTTATCAATTATAAGGTAATTAATATTTTACTAATTTAAATTTTGGTCTACAAGAATCGTATGAAATTTATATTACATATTTGCTCCATTGCAACTAAAGAGCCGAAATTCTTTACATGATATTCTCCATCTCGCTTTTAAATTTTTGTATTTCCAAGTAAATGTTTAATATACATTTACTGAAATATTTCATTAAATATGTATATTAAACAAACCTCTTTTTGAATTTGAAAAACTATTTACTTAAATAGACTATTTACTGACACTAAACGAAGAATTGTTAAATGTCTAATGCTTAGAGTATCTAAACAGCATTGCTATAAATGTATGATGCCTTTGAAATCAATAATTGTTATAATATCAGTAATTGCTTTGGAATCAATATCAATAAAATATTGTTGATAAAAAGGATTAATTCATATATTTTTTAAGGATACGTACCAACACTTTAAAAGAAATTTCTTAACTAACGCTTATTCAATACTAAAGAAATTATTTCATGTAGATTATCAGTTTTCCAACTAATTCTACAGTTAGATCTTGTGTTAACGACCCCTCACGTTGTAAAGAAAAAAGATGTTATGATGAGAAGTCGCTACACAGACAATGAATTTAACAGATTCTTATCAGATGGGAACTTTTTGTATCGGTCGTTGCATGGAGCAACTGCTTAGAATAAGAAAGCTAGCAATTTTAATGATGTTTAATGTTGAAATAGTTATCGATGAAGATTATTATTTTAATCCTCCTTCAATAGTTAAAAATTATTATTAAAATTACCAAAACCTAATACCATGTTATACTTTATTTTTCATCTCGTGTATACACTTACACACACGTAAGATTACAAGAAAATAAAATATTAAACAAATTCTATTTACAAAGATTTTCTAGTATGTAACATAATTATAATCTAAATAATTCTGTCAAACCAAAATATATAAATTTGAAAGCATATATCTACACACTTTCAGGAAAATGAAACGGTGGAAATTTAAAACTTTCCAGCTTCAAAAATATTTTGCGATGTGTATTGCATTTGCGATTTGCATTTGTAATAAATATCGTAACAGCATTTTTTTTATTTTATATCTTTGAAATAAAATGTGCTAAATCATATTATAAAACTTAATACTCGTATAGAATCACATATCTTTATTTTGAAATTACTGAAATGTAAATGTATGATCAAACGTTAATGTTTCTTCTACAATTTCATTCGGAGTTTAAAACATTTCCCGGTGTAATTCCTTGTTATTCCTAATGCAATACACTGATTTTTGATTGAGATAAATTTAGAATTTGATAACATAGGAAAAAGAGGAGTTAAATGAAGGTAGGCTGTAGAACAAATCGAAAAGTGAAGCCTTAGTGTCAAAAGTATTCTAGGATGCTCAAAATATGAAGACTGGAATATATTAATATCACACAAAAATGATAGACACCTTATCACTTTTTGAGACATCTTGTCTTCTTTCTTTAAAAGAACCAGACCTACTAAAAATTACAAAGGTATTACAGTTAAAATTTTTTCCTTTTGAATAGTCAAAGTTTCATTTGCCAAATCCGGAAATAGAAGTATTTTCTCAGCAATTTAAATGTACGTAAGTTTTGGAACTGAAATGACCTCCCTGAGAGAAATCTATCGCTGCATTTTGGTGAATAAAGAAGACCTTCGATCCATACTTCCCAGATAGATAATTTTTCCTTATATGTTTCTCGCTATTTCTGAGTATTATATTTAAGATTATTCGGAGTAAAGGATATATATATTTATATATATATATAAGGATTATATGAAAATGTTACATAAAAGGATTATTTAGATAAGGATATCCAAATTTAATTATTAAATTTATATTACTATTATTTATTAATGTATTAATAATAACAATTTAATGATATATATATATAATAATATAATATTTAACTATATTTTTTATTTATTACTGTTATTTGATTATTTAAAAAACGATGTATACTAGAAGGATTATTCATATTTAATAAAAAATAAAGAAGAAATTGTGCAGAGATTTACAAAGACTGTGCAGAGGTTTACAAAGACTGTGTTAAGTATTTTTCTGTATGCAAAGTCAGAAGTGATGGGGCCGTAAAAACAATTTAAGTTTCGAAAAGTCGTATTTGAAGCAGCGTTCATGCAAGATGCATAGGAAAATGAACAGCATTTTTTCTTAAGAAGTTTTTAATGTAACGTATTTATATTAACAGTAATAAATTTATTTATTTACAAATACGTTACTAACTTAGAATGTATAATAATTTACTAGGTTCATCATTTTCCAGTATTCTTTTTTTTTGTTTTAAATTTCCCTTCCACTGAAAACAATAGATCGAGGTTCCACTACTCTATTAGATTTATATAGAATAAATCTAAATTTCTGTAGTTTATTTTTATCTTTCTATAATGTATATTAAACTCCTTGCTTTATTTGAACTCTTATTTAGAATTTTTCGCACTATTTTTATCCAGTTGTACGTGTTGTCTTACCTTGTTTTTTTATCGATCCATCCAGTTTTATGTGAAGCAAATTGGGGTAAAAGGTATAAAATCGCATCCGTTATATTTTACCTTAGTTTCACACTTCTTTATCTATTTTTTCCATTTTTATGCGTAATGTATGTTTCGTATTTTAAATTTACACTTGCATTACTTTGAAATTCAAATTCTTACAATTATTGTTTCACATGGCACATCTACAAAATGGCAAGAGGAATGATGATGAAGAATACAATTAACAATTAATGCATGTCTCATGAAGTAGCGCTATAGAAGATGCATCCACATTTTATATACAATTTTCATTGAAAGTATTTTTCATCCTGTTTGGAATGACACAGAGTTGGAGAAAGACACAGCAATGGAGCTATCACTGGCGATCTATATTGTTTTCATGTTTAGCATTAGAAAACTGGAAGGCAGATGACTTCATTGTTTTATCATTCTAGCCATTTTCCTCCATTTAAGTAATTCTGATATGGAGCAGCATTACGGAGAACAAGAGAAACCAATGAAGAAAATAGTCTGCGCATCCACTCTTGGAACTTTGGGCTGAAAAAGAAAGTAATTTTTAATGAATGATTATACCTTTCATGAAATGTTTAATATTTATTTTTACTCGTATTTCAGTAGTGAACCAATTCTTAAAACGCTTTGAGAATAACAATAAAGAATCCAACTAGAGCGTACACGTAGCAGCTAATTATTTGCCAATTATTATTAATTATTTATAATTTTGTTGGTTTTATCGTGATCCTTATAGGCAAACACCTCAGTTAAAAATTAGTTCGATTCTACAGGCACATACCCATTTGTTTTGCAAGTGGAGACACTCATAGAGATTGGGGTTACATAAACATGCTATTTCACTTTTTTTATTGAAAACATTATTTGGTTTGATGATCTGACATCGGATCATAATTTAATCTATATCTTAAGTTTAAGGGCTAAGGGAAAAGATGTAAAATTCTTAATTAAAGTTATTTTTCTATTGTGTAAAGTGGCGTTAGTCCAAATGCTCTCGAAACGTATGTCTGGTAAATGAAAAAAAGTCCCTTTGGGTATTATTTTATTTTGTTTTTATTTACTTACTTTTGCTAGCCTTTCCTGGTGAACTTCCGTAGGACTCCGGCACTTTTAATTTTAGAAATTAAGCCTTGGTTAGTGGGCATATAACTAGAAATTAGTTGTATTAGCATAGATCAGTTAGCTAGTAATTTACCATAGACCAATTCGAAAATCCGAAGAACCCTGTTCTTTAGAAACTGACCAAAGAAGTTTGTATTCAGGTTTGTTTTTTAGTATATTTTTGAAAAACAATTAAATAGGTTTAATTTTCATTCCTCGTAATATGCATATCATATGGCTGGGTAATTTTAGAAAAGGGAAATTTTAATTGTACGTAAATAATTACATTACTTATATTTCTAGATAATTATATTACTTATCTAAATAATTATATTACTTATATATGTAAAATATAAAAAATACGATGGCTTTGTTCTGCGCGAACAGGCAACCTATCATTAACTTTCCGCAGTTTCAGGATCTTTAACCTAGAGTAGTACTTTCGAGAACATTCTGGCATGTTATATAACCGAAAGTATAAATATGCGCCATTTTTCGTCAGACTGCTTTCTTCTATCGATGCTACAAGACCTTGCTGCTACTCATCCCTTTTTTCTTCCCTTTGTTTGAAAAGTTATGACGTAGAAAGCCTAAATTTAATCTTACTTAGTTTAAATCACTATTGAATATGTAATTTGGAGAATTTCATCTAAAGGCAAAATGATCTGCTGTGAAAAGTGAATAAAGATGTGGAATCTAGAAAGCTAAATTCTTCTTTGTCGTCATTTTGCAGCCTTCTACTCAGCAATAACAACCCCCGGACTACGATGTAGTTATATCGTCAAGCTTTGTCATTCCTGTACCTGCCTGCAAAAATATTACACACACACACACATACATATATATATATTTCTCTTCACAGACGAGTCCAGGTTCACACTGGAGAGTGATTCAGGTCGTGAACTGATCTGGAAGGAACAACGCACCAGATACAACCAATCCCACATTGTGGAAAGACACAGTTAGAGGTGATGGAATAATGGATTGGGCTGGGATCTCTCTTGGTGGTCACACTGACCTGCATGTGTTCCATGGAGAATCTTTGACCGGTATGAGATATTGAGACAAGATCCTTGATCAATATGTCCTCCCATGTACCGCTGCTATTGGTCCTGGATTTCTTCTGATGGACGACAATGTGGGACTGCACCGAGCTCGAGTTTCTGCAGAATATCTTGAAGGTTACGGTATGGAGCGGATGGAATGACCAACTCAATCTCCAGACCTGACATACATAGAGCATATTTGGGTCTACCTTGGGAAATGGGTTGCTGCCTTAAGTCCTCCTCCAAGGTCGTTAGATGAGAGAGAGAGAGAGAACGGAGGATGTGGGCACTATCCCTTTACCAAACGGTTAATCAGTATAGCACTACGTCCACCACTATCTATAGCACCCCTTCAAAATACATAATGCCACCTGAAAGGTATTCAACGTGCACGACAAGACATACAAAATAACATGTTACAGAGTTACAGATTAATATTCTAGATACATTACTGGTACATTACTGATGCAAATATGACAGATGCAAAACTGATTCAAGGCTGATATAATACTGATACTGATATTAATACTGATTAATACTGAAGGTCGTTAGATGAGCTTGAACAAGGTTTACTCCGTGTCTAGTCGTTGCTTCCCATTTCACTGACAGATAACTTAATTGACAGCATGGAACGTTGCATGGAACGTTGTTGCCGCCAATGTATTGCGGCGAGGGGTGGACACATTCCTTATTAGAGCCTATTTTTGTAATGTTACGACTCCATTTTTCTTCAAGAAACTGTACTGTTTCTCCAAGACCGAATTTCTCTTCCAAGAGTGCAATATTTTGGTTGTAATTCATATTTGTGTTGAACTTAAGAAACATTCTCTGTCGCATTTATTAAAGAACTGTTTAGTGGACATGTCCTGTAAATTTCTTCTATGTTGTTTCATTTTCAAATTAGACACAAAAAACATGATATTCCTTAACTTTTGGAGGACAGTGTATTTGGTGGCAACAATCTGAAAAGTGATTAAGACTTTTAAAGTTCTCAACGCAAAATGCCAAAACGAAATTGAATGCCCTTCTAGGCTAACGCTTTTTGGGCTAAAAAAATCTGAAAGCTTTCAGATTTTATTTTACAAAGAGCCTTTTTTAACGTTTTGTGTGTTACATTAATTTATTAAATGTCACGTTCTTCACACTTAAACCATAAACTTCAACAGCAATACCACATAAAAATTTAAAAAGAGCATATCTTTAGAATTTCCGATACACTGTCTAGAATTTACACACAGTCTAAATTTATACCAGTCTGGAGATTAATTTTTTTTTCATACAGTGTTGCCATTGCTCTCTTTGAAATCTTTGAGTTTGTTAATCAAAAATTCATTAAAGGTTTACAAAATACGAAATAGATAATAAAACAAATTCAAAATCCTTCCAGATGCCCATATTCGAGTGGAAGGACTACGTCTCTAGGAACCGTTGTTTTTTCACAGTGCGAGAAACATACATACATTTATGCAGATTCCTCATTATTTAATTTCTTCAAATATAAAACAAGGCTCTAATATTTAGTGGCAACAATCTAAAAAGTGAAACGCTGCTTATAGTGAACTAATGCAAAATGCCAAAACGAAATTAATATCCCTTCTGGGCAATTTACCTCTTTGGGCTAAAAGGAAGAGCAATTTTGTTTAGCAGAATGATAAGATTTGAACATGTGTCGGGGAATGGGTCAGTTCATTAAGATTTATGATACACAGTTGTACTGAAGTCAGATTCATTGTGTAATAAAAAACGACAGGAAACTGGATGCCTTTAGCTCAAAATAAACTGACCATTTGCATCACGGCTGAGGAAATAGTTGAACTTTTTTTGTTACTTTCAACAATTGCAAATGCATCATCCTCATAACATAATCAAACTCGAAAATTTAATATTTTAAATAATTTTGATTCATTAAAATTCATATAACTATCAGCTAGAATAGGATTGAGAAGATTTGTCCTATTTAATACTCCAACCTGAAGATAATTACTATTTTGGAAAAACAAATTTCAAAGAAATAAAATGAAACAAAACGTTTAAACGTTTTTGAGAAAAATGAAAATGTTTAGCATTTTTAAGAATAAAATTACCTCTTTATTTAAAAACACTTTTTCGCATTATGCTTTTGTTATCCCAGCATTTAGTTTTCAATGACAATGAACATTTCTAGTTTAGAAATTTCAATATCTCCAATGTTTTGAAAAAATTATTCTCATTACTTATGACGCCTAATGTCGGCTTTTGCTGTTAAACCTGCGATAATTAAACTTTGAATGCTCTAGTGTCGATTATGAAAGTTAATAGGCTATTATTCCCCTTGGAGTGTTTCTGCTTAAACTCTAAGAAGTAGTTATTGCATCGGATCAATATAAATGAAATTCTGCTTTTATATGATAGCAAAGGAAACTGAACTCGAAATTAATTAATGATTTAAGTGACATTCGATGATCAATAGTACTTTACAAAGAAACCTAAAAAATATGACTAATGCAAAGGCTCAGTAGGAGAAAAAATGATAATGTAAGTAAAGAACTCTTTCACTTCTGCGCAGAATTAAAGGAACTGCGGAAGCGGTATTTAATAGACAATAACCTATTAAAAATTCTATGAAAGAAAGTGTACGTACGTAATAATTCTAAACTTCCCAAATTGATTAATGCATACAATGAGACATAAGCGAATGAGGTAAGAGTGTGGTTCAAGATTCGAGTTTGTAATCTAGCTTTAAATAAGTTACGAGTTACACAGTATTTAGATATTGTTAAATGTATTTGATGGACATCATTTAGACGAGCGTCAGCGATAACGAGCACTTGGTAGATTGGAAGCTGATCAGTCACCGTTAGATATGTGCAAAGATTTAATTATTCGACCAAAAAACAAAGGCTTTATCCAGTAGTATAGTAAATCACGTACTTCGTCGTAGCAATCACTTCACAAGAATAAACAGCAAGGTAAATATAGCTCTGCAAGGTGACCAATATGTTGCATCCATCTTTCCAAATTTTCTAGCATAGTGTGGTTATGATGATACCTTCTGATTGGCCAGGATGCTCAGACTGATGAGCGACGATTTTCTTCATTGATGTGTAAAAGTTTAGTTTAAGTATCGATTCTCAACATACTTTGACCTAAAGAGGTCTTGAAGTATGTAATGTTTCATCAAATATCTATAAAGAAACTTATCATGATGAAACGTTGCTTGTTTTAAGAGAAAACATGATAAATGACACACCTTTCTGGATGTTTACTGCAACATCCATTGATATGTAGACGAAGTCATAGTTCGTATGTAAGAAATTTTGAGATTTGTAATCCCCGAGATCCTCCGGATGAAGATTAGATAGCATCTTCAATGATCCTCTCTAATGATGGAAGGAAAACTTGAAAATAAAGATAGTATAGTTTGATTAAATAGGCCACGAATACTTCATAACAATATTCCATTACAATAAGTGTTGTTTTAAATTGCCACGAAAGCCAGCTTCTTCAGTTGAGCTGCAGCTGCTTTTATAAAACTTTCTAAATGAATTTTAGATGCTTGCATGTAAGCTCACTGTGATTATATACTATTTCTCATCAGAATAATGGTGATAGCTCAATTTGTTGTTTTTTTAGTCAAGTATATATTTCTCTTGAAATATTTAAAATAATTTAATGTTACACGTAGAATTTATAAAGAAAATGTACTTTTTCATGCTCCTATAATGTAATTGATTGACTCTGAAAACTACAATACTTACATAGCTTTACTCCTTTCCGTTTCGGACTAGCAGCACCTTTAATAGGTTTCTCTGTATAAGGAAAAAAAAATGCACTTAAGCATGCAGAAACGTATTTTATATAAGTAATCTTAAAATAATTGCATGGCATGCATATCTCTTGAACGACTGACTGCAAACCCTACGTTTTCAGTTCAAGAAATAAGGCTTCAGTATTTACATATTTTTTTAGCAGAAATGTAAAAAATTTGTATTTTAACGCTAATCCTGTGCGAAGGAAGTTCCAGACAGTGAAGCTCTTTCAACCTATGACAGTACTTTTAGAAAATAAAGTAATAAAATGTTTTCCAAATAAAATTGTTAAAATGATGCAATTAAAACCACTTTTACCCGACGGAAAGAAACCGCATAGACATCGATTCCAAAGAGTCACACCAAAACCGAATTATGTTATACTATTTGTACTAATGGGAACATTTAAAACCTGCATATGTATATATCTAAATCTATATCTATATATATCTCTCTCTATATATATGGGGTATGTTTGAAGTATTAAATATATGGTAATTTTTAAATATCTGGCAAAAGGGTAAAAGAAGAGAAGATAGAAATGAGCAGATTTTGTAATAGAATGTGTATACACAAATGGAGAGCTGAAATGGAAAGGTTCGGTTGAGATTGGCTGGTGAAAGCGATCTGCTGGCGTAAATCATAACTCGCAGTACGGATTCCGAGATTATTATTACAGGAAAGTAGAGCTTCTCAGCATGCATTTTAATTTTAGGGTTGCTGACGGAAATGGGGCTTATACTCAAAAGGTTTACAGAGAAAGATTTCCGAGTAGACAGTTCCCAAGTCGCCACATTTTTGAACGCATTCACTGGGAGTTGCCCGAAAGCAAATTTTGTATTACTGTTGGTGAACGCAGTTTCGAGCCTTTGTAAAACGTTTAATGATTAATATGTTTGCTTGTTACGTTTCTGTTAACGGGCCGATAGTCGCAAAATATTATCCAAAGTGTCACATATATTAGTCTGTTTATATCGCGTCATAAATAGCTGTGCAGTGACGTCATTGCGAAAAAGACTGAAAAATGAACATTAGTTCAGCAATTTAATGTCCTAGATTATCAGTTATTTAAGGGGATGAAATCGAAGTAGCCAAATATGAACACCTGCAGATTAATCACAGTTAATACAGTTTTATTGATCTTGATACCGGATGCCTGCCACATGCAAAATGGCAAAATAAACAACAACGCGACATTGTCTATCACCATATAAATTCCTTCAGCACGGAATTAATGGGGCGGCAGTCGCATGAAAAGACACGCACACAAAATAAAATCGCATTTTTAAGCCTCTTGCGTAATCTTAAAGAAATGTGGTAAAATCTAATTTGTACTTTAGTATTTGTTTTCATTTTCTTTGCATTTATTCTGAATTTAATAAATAGTTATTCTTTTCATAGAGCTACAACGTCCCTTACTCTTTGGGAACATAAAATGTACGAAACGGCTTAAGACTTGAAGTGAATTATCACTGTTTCTTGTCAAGCACCACAGAAACTGAAAAGTGTGTAAAGGACTCCTTTATTTAACAAAGTTTTGTACTTATTTTACAAATTTTTTTTATTAACAGAAGGCACCACTCATGATTACATAAACCAGCATTTATGGCTTAAATCAAAGATAATGAATTTGACTTAGCTAAGTAATAGTAAGTTAGCCTAACGGCTATACAAATAGAGTAATGGGCAAATTGGCTCTGACCTAAGGTAGGCGTGACAGGTCTAATGGCGAGAATAACGCAACGCCGCAGAATACTACTCTGAAGAGAATTAAATGAGCAACGTGTCCTTCAGCAGGCTAAACACGCCTTGATTCTACCCTCTAAAATCTTCCTTTAAATATTAACTCCTTTTTACCTCATTTGAATATCACGCAAGCTAAAAATTTACATTCTGGCAGGAAATTAGGAAACGAAGAGGACGGGAAAGCAGTTTAACATACAATAACTGATTAATAAACTAACCGAGACCTTACAGAGCTTGTTTTATAAAGCTTTACATCTCTTGCCACCATCTAGTTTGTTCTCGCGCTAACGTTTATGTTTGAAAAGTACTACTCGTTTCTTTTGAATTTATCTGTATTATTTACTCAGTTATTTATACATTCACAAGAACTTATGTGTGCCATTTCCGCATACACATTCCATTACAAATTTTGCTTATTTTTCTCCTTTCTGTCTGCCTTTACACTTTTTATGCTTATTTTTGAATCACCCTGTATATATAAAAGCAAGATTATTAAATAAGCAGGAATTGAAAAAGTTTATTTAAATTTTTAAATTTTTAATTTTCCTTTATAGATTTCCTGCATATATGAATTTCAAAATTTTCATCTTTGTGAAACATTAATTCTAAATTCCTTACTTTATGTCTTTAATGATAATTTTCAGCAGCTTAAAGTGCAAAAGTACTAAGCATATTTCCATTTTTTTTAAAAATTGTTTTGTAATTATATATATACTTGTATATATATATATATTCACGTTTATCCGATATAAAATTCATGCTAGCAGAAATGTATATTAAATTTTTATGTAAATCTGTCTTTAATGATTTGGTGCAGTTCCTCAAAAATTAACTGGGATTTTTCGGGCAATATTGATAGCATGAGGATGTGTTTTTGTTTTATTCTAAACTAGAGAAAACGTTTTTCTTATTGATTGATTTTCTCTTCCTAATCAGCTCATATAAAAATTTCAGTATCGCATATATTTGATTAGCGCTTGAAACATGCTCTTTATTATATAGTACAAAAGTAAAATACCAGAAATAATAAAATTTTCCCCTGAAATGCGTTTTTCATGCACTTGACTTTTTATTATTTTAATCTACAAAAATAGAAAAATACAGATGCTAAAAGAATTTTGTTTTATAAATAAACAAAGAAACAATTCCTCTTCCAATTGTAAGGATTTAATTCTGTAAATTTTATATAAGTTCGTATTCAAAAGCTAAATGCGGAAAACATGAAATCAAGTTAAAACTAGCTCATAGAAATAATAATATTAAGAAAAAAGTAAGGAAGAAAGTAATATTAAGTTTATTTTTTCAAAATTGCCTGCAAATTGATTTTTAGGAATACAGTTTAACGCTGTAATTTTGTTTTGATTCTTAATATTATTTTCTTTAGAGATCGAGGTGATAAATCTACCCGTAAATGCGTTTTTTCGTTTAATTGTCTTTTTTGTATCACAATTCGCATTTTCATAACGCATTAATAATCAATTTTTTTATATATTATTTTTTGCTAGCTTAAGTTATGCTATGCTTTCATTAAAAAATATTCCCGCTTAAAACTCAGGCATATTTCGAGATAGTGAAACTTTGTTTTTAGGCCAAACGAATATCACGATGAAATGAATATCATGAAGCTTTTGGTTTCTTATAGTTCATATAAAAGTTATGTTTATTTTATGCACACTGAACTCGACAGAACAGTAACGTTTCTTTCGTATTTCACCATTAGGTTTTCTAAAATTCCACTTCTCATTTCCTAGTGCGTTCGTTCACTTGTAAATTAATTGTGTGCCATAGAAATATATTTTTGTTTTGCAAGAGCCTTCAGAACCGTTCGACTGAAGTTGCTTGCGTCTTTGCGGGTGTTCCGCCCCTCTCAATTTTATACAAATTATACTACAAAAAGTTTCGATTAGCTAATAAAATTATTATAGATACTGAAATTGGACAAAAAGTACTCACAAATAAGGCCTTCCAACAAGAGAATGAGGATATTATTCACCCAATGACACGATTTGGATTATTTTATGATCTTGAGTTTCCTTCTGGTGGCGAAATAGATGTTTTTTACAGATGGTTCTGGAATGGATGGGAGAGTGGGTAGCACTGTGGTAATTTATTTTCATGTAGTGGAGATAGACAATGTGAGAATAAAAACTTAAACCAATGAATTCGTATTATCAAGCAGAACTATACGCATTGATAGAGCCTTTGAATTGTATTAATAAAAAATTAACAGTTCGATGTTTTATAAATATTTATATTGATGCCCTATCTGCGCTTCAGGCACTCGTCCAACCAGATCATAAAAATCGACTGATTAATGAAATAAAAGACTTGTTTAAAAAGGCTGAAGAACCTATTGTTAAATTACACTGGGTGAAACCACACAGTGGAATTGTCGGAAATGAAAGAGCGGACACCCTTACTATAAATAGTGGCACTTGGGGTTGAGGCCGATAATTTTGATATCCAAGATTCAAGAAAAAAAGAACATTGCTGAAATGGAAATTGGATTTATACAGAATGGAATTTTTGCTGGGAGTCATATAATAATAAAAAAAAAGAGTTAATGAAAAATATGAATTTAAACAAGAAGATGAATATTATAAATAATGTTGATATAAATCAGGTACTGACTAATCATGGGCGTTTTCCGGCTTATTTTAATCGGTTCCATCCACAGAATAATGATAAATGCTTAATTCGTAATAAGTTTGGGGACGCCAGGCACTTCGTCGATGAATGTACGCTTACACGGAGTGCAAGAGAGAAATATAGAAAGAATTTTAAGGAAGATTTTAAAAGAAACTATTTAAATTTGAAAGATTTTGCAGAGAAAATAATGAAGATTATAAATAGGAACAAAGATGGAATTGGAATTCGGCACTGAGACTTATATTTTGGACTTTATATGTTTTTTCTTATATTTGTTTTTTTCTGGTCAGACCCATTTTTTGATCATCCGGCTGGTTTGTGACGGCTAGGAAGATTGGAATTGTGCCTTTATAATAATAATACTATAGAAAATTCTTGTATTCTAGTTCGAATTTACATATCCAAATCGTGTGCCCTACAAAAAGAATAGTTTGTGAGTAATTTTGGTGTTTCAATCAGAAAGTGCGTTTTTGTACTTGGAGAAATAGCTACCCCATTTTTGGAATTTATGTAATCTTGTATTTATATGGAAAAGAGGTGCGAAAACTTTCTTTGCAATTTGTAACTGAGAAAAAAATAATGCACACAAATATGTCATTCAAAATTAAACTGCTGTTTTGAAAAGCAATACTCTCGGGGGTGCTTTCTACAACTATATTATCACTGGCAAACATTCTCATCAAAAACCTTTGTATAAAGACGACATATACTCATGTAACAACGATATATACTTAGAGATAATTACTAAATAATTTTCTTGTTTTTCTAAATTTGTAACATTGAAGATAAAATTGGACACCCTCCTCAGTTATATATTGTTGACACCTTACGATATAGATAAATTTGCAAATCACTGTTTCAAGAAAAGCGAGTTGTACGTTTAACGCGAGTTTGGTTCTGAAAAAAATCAAACTATGTCTCTTTAGTAATAATCCTTCTATTTGCATTTCTCTTTTTCAGCATAGAACAAAACATTTAAAAATTATTCAGAAATGCACATAAATAAAAGCAGCAACAAACCGCATATTTGTGAATGTGTGCAGAAATGGCACGTTAAGGTGGGACAGGGCGCTGTTGAGCTGTAAATAAAAGGGCTATGCAGCTGTAAATGGTCATTCCATGCGAATTTCGAGTGGTGTGCATCGTTACTTGAAATTCGAAGTCAGTTGTATGCATTTTATCTGTGGAGCTGCTGTTAAAACAGTTAACTAATGAAAGGAGTAATTCAGAACAGAATTAAAAATCAGCGTTAATTTTCAAAATTTTCACAAGACTAGTTTCGATGGTTTTACCGAACCAGCAACCTCAGCTGCAAAACCGCAAATTTAATGCTGATTTTTGTTGTTTGACTTCTGAATTAGTACTTATTCGGCGTAATTGTCTTGATTAATGAAAGGAGGTTCAAGGAACAACTCTCGACTACCTCCTTTGAGAATCTGTTCTATTTCCATCCACGGTCTTCTAGATACACTCGGTCGGTTCGTGTATTGATACATTCCACTCGAAATTCACATAAGAAATGCTAATTTACGCCACCAAATATCTTTTATTTACCATTTAATAGTACCCTATACCCCCTCATGCGCCTTTTGTTTACACCATTTTCGCATATACAGGGTATTTATACATGAATGGTGCGGCTTTAGAAATTAATAATAAATGGATGCATTACATTATACGGGCAAACCTTACAGCATAAGCAGCGGCAACTGTCCAAGTTTTTGATGCATTAATCACAATAATTCAGTATGTGCATCTTTGGTCACATGACACACAGCTACACGGCAATCAAATTCTTCCCATATGCGGTATAGCATGTCCGCCCTGACAGTCTGCAGTGCATCTTTATCGGACCACAAAATTCCTCAAGGAACACGGGCATTGGCGGTACATAAATTAGCCTTTAACAAACTCCTTAAGAATGAAAACTCATGGTGTTAAATCCTGCGAACGAGGTGGACAGAGGAGAAGGTTGCTGTCTACTTTTGCAGCACGTCCAATCCAGCGCTGGTGAAAAACACGATTAAGAAGCTCTCGCTTATTTCTGTGAAAATGAGGAGGTGCACTGTCCAGTTGCAAAATGTAATCATCATTATTGGTGTTCAGCTAGGATTAATTACCAGGTTTCCAAAATGTCTAGAAATGGGTTACCGATCACAATTTCTTGTTCGAAGAAAAATAGGCCGTGCACTTTCTTTCGGGACACCGCACAGAAAACGTGCACGAAACTCACGCTACACTGAAACCACAGAGCTGGATATCTCAAAACATAGAACACAGAAAGCCTTTTCCTGTTGCGGCGCTGTCTTCGAAAGTGATGCTTCAGCTGCGCAGTAAGCATCATAAGCAAACAGCAGGTAGCACATGAGAAATTTGGATAGTCGCCAATGATTACTTTGTAGGTTTTACACGGGTAAAGAAATACATCGATTTATTTTCAATTTTTAAAACTGCACTCTTTGTATATAAACACACTGCACATTCCGTTATAAAATCTGTTCAGTCCCGTCCAGCCTCCTTTACATTTTTGACAAGTGTTTTTGGATCACCCTGTACGTAATCTCTGTTATATCAAGAAAATTCTAATATAATGAGTTCAGACTGTGAGATACGCTACAAGTTAACAAAGTTTCGTTAATTTGTTCAGCTTTAATCCTTTAATCATAGGACTACTAATGGACAAGTGTTTCGAAATTCGAGATATAACAGAGCTATAATTGATATACATACCTCTGCTTTCATTCTCGTTTATCTGAAGAGTAGAGGATTGCTGTCTACCTCCGACAAACATCTCTTCATTACTCATAACATAATCTTTAGTTATGGAAGCCGTACACTTCAGCCGCATGTTTTGATTTATGAAATGTTTCTCTTTGGCCACGAACTTCAAACTCAAGCTTGATGTTTCTAGTCCATCCTCATGTAAAGTAGTTGAGTGCTCTGTTTGAAATTCAGGTCCTACCTGTAAAAATTAAAGTTTTATACTTCCCTGCAGCACATCAATCTAAATGAGAATCATGATCAAAATATAGAAGGGACATTTAAATACACTTTGAACGTTCCTAACTTTTTGTCAAGAATTTTCTTAAAGAACATTCAAAGTAAATTTCATAAATAGTGGAAATTCACACACTGGAAAATTTATGATTAAAAATAATAGCATATACCAATATGCAACTTGTCACAAATGTACATGATTCGTAAGTTCGGATATCTTTGTAAAATATATGAACAGGCTACTGTATCGCTACAAAAATGACGTATGATTGAAAGAAAACAACTAAGGGCGTCCAGATTTTGCATTTTGAATATTTTCCTCTTTGAAAGCATTTTTTAAGTTTCTGAAACATTTGTGGACAGTTTTAGAGTTTTTTGGGGTATATCAGAGCATTTTGAAGCATACTCTAGTAATAAAAATGAAAAATAAAATTACTTTTGAAATTAACACTATCTCAATTCTTATGAAGTCATCTTTACTAGGCAGGCATATCCTACCCACATAAAACTTTTCATGTAATCTGTTAGTCCTTTCTGTCACGACAGGCTTTTTAAACAAGGTACGAGGGACACTTCTGAGAATTTTTCCATACCGACATTTCTTAACTCTTTAAGACAATTTGTGTATGTTTAGTTGCATACATGCAGAGGGAAAAATGCTATTCCACAGACACATTTTTGGAATAACATACTCACAGCTGTGAGCAATATGTTTTTTTAACCCCCCCATTTATTTATTTATTGTACTCAGTTGGCATAGTCGGTCCGCAGTAGGTTCGCCATCTTGGATCTTTCAACTTTTAAAAAGGAACTGTCGGATTAGATATGTCATGAATACAAAAGCTATTTGTGGCCGTACCTTTTGCTTCGAAAGTACCGCCGAAACGAGCAGTATATTTTTAAAAAATTTAGAAGCTTGGCTGTATATGTTTTGTTTAAATATTTTCGCAAGGATCTAGGATACAAAATATTCCTTCACATAAAGTTTAAAAAGGAGCTTCCTATTTTTAAAACAAGGCTTTCATAAGAACTCTTACAAGGGCTTATATGCATATTACAAGGGTTACTCATTTTTGTAGTGTGAAGTTTTTTTAATTAAATATTAAATTAATATATGTATTTTTAAAATAATAAAGGAAAAATGAATACTTTTTACATGAAATCTTCGAGCATTCATTTTGAGTTTCTAGAAACATGTACGAAGACATCTATTTGTCTATCTTTTTCGCTCTCTCTCTCTTAGCTTTTGCTTGTGCAATTTTTTTAGCAGTATCATCAAAGAAACATTTTTATAATACTTGATATTTTCATGTCCACAAACATTCCTCTAGAAAAACATAATAACGTTAGATTTTGCCTGTTTTTAGAAAAAATGTGTAGATCAAATGATACCTGACTGATCTTCACTGTGACAAAAATTCAAAGAAAAATGGGAAAAATTACTGAAACTATAAAAGAGAAAAAAACATTCATTTCAGTTGATGAAATGAATGATGCGGATGGTTGACAAACGTGTGATGTAACAATATGTACTCTGGGATTCATGTTTAGCAGACAAAATATTTTTACTTAATGTCGAAGAATTTGAAAAATGAACTCCAATCAGTTATTAAAAATAACTAACCATTTTATGGTCTAATGGCATACGTATTGGAAATGGCATGTTACTCTTTTTAATCGTTTATGCATTATACATTGTTAAAGAGGAAAAATCAGTAAAGGGATTTTATTTCAAGCTAGTGCATGTGACTTTTCTTCTTCACGCGTTACATCGTCTCGCTGAAGGAATCCATGCAAATTACCCTGACCTAGCTTGTATCTAACGTAAGGAAAGTATTCTGAAAAGCACAATATAATTATGTAAAATATAAAATATGAAAGACGTCATTTAAAAATTACTAACTTAATTAACATATATATCTTTAAATTCCTAACTTCAATCTAAAGATAACCCTCTTCGCATCTACATTGAAGCCTGCAGTATTCCGCATTGCGAAGGCTTTTGTATAATCATCATTCAGGTTAAAAATAACGAAGCCAAGCTTATAAATATTACTGCAACTATCTACGCATCTCTATTTTGTCGCAAAGACTGGCCTGCTAAATGACGTCTCTGCGCTTAGCCACATTCTTCCATTATTCTAAAATATAGCTGCGTATATAACATTGTGAAGCGTTTAGCAGCCTTAGTTGCACCAATTAAAAAATTACCTGTTGTACCAATTCCGAACAGACATGTCTCTAGAGAATTATTCCTGTTAAAAAAATAAAAGTGTTTTAATCATCAAGCTAGTTCCTAATTTTCCCTCCAGCCATTTACTACGCAGCAGCTTTATATCCTTCTCCACTCTGGCCAAGATTGAAAAATAATTGGCGTCTTCTCCACTAAGTTTTTTCATCATACCAATAAGTTATTACACATATATACATATATATATCTCAAAAAATACTTTTATATAAAATAACTTGAAAAAAATTATTTTATAGCTATAAAGTTGAATTATTTGCATAATATATTAAGCACATTTTGTAACTACGTTCGGTGGGCTATATACTATACGTGAAAACACTGTATAAATCACTTGTAGTAGATATATCAGGACGTCTTTGTAAAAATTATTTAGGCTTTGCACCCGCACGAAATGATACTAATAAGTAGCAGTCATAGAAATGATACCCATTGCAAAATTCAGGGCGTACAACCAATATACATCCACTGTATGCCATATAATAACCATTTGTATGCACATGCCTGTAATAATTTTTGTTCAGAAACAGCCCACTGTATTTAGACAACCAGCTGACGAGCGGTAAACTCGCTGAATACTGGTAGTTCGCTCTGGGTTTTGAATCCTGTCAAATAGGCTGACTGCATGGACGTTTTCATCGTTTTTCCCACGTGTAACGTGCATACGAGCCAGATTTTATTAGAAAGAACTCCAAGAAAGCATCCCTTCCTATAGGCAGATAGCACTCTAGTTGTTTGCCATAATTAAATAAAACAAACCAAGGTTATTCTCTGTAACTGGTTTGCAACCCATGAAATCCTAATACAGCAAAAAATAAATTCCTCTTACGCTGGTCACATAGGCATAATTTAAAAACCACTGGAAGATTTTGTATTTTAATATTCATGAACATTAGTCAAATGCCCTGCAAAATTGCTTCATACAATACTTTCCTGAAATCCAGTGTTATGCTTAATTTTTATCTACTAGTGAACTTTTAAAAAACTATCCGGAAAGAATCGCTTGGCTTCATTCTACTTCTACGTTTTACAGTTTTACTTAGTCTCCAAAATGTTCGATATAGATTTCTAGGATTCCAGATAAAAATTAAATTAAAAATCACTAATATAATAAGTAACTAAATAACAATGCATTTAATAAAAAATAATTTGATATTAATTAAGCATATAAAGAATTTTCTCCTTGCTCACTGCGTACGTTTGTGGTGTAATTGTAAGCAATCCGGAGTTCAAATCTCGGCCAAAGCATGAATGGTTTTTCTTTCTTCCCGTTACGGCAAATATCTGATAGCTCTCAAACGTGTACAATTATATTTTGCGGTGAAAAAAAAGAGAGATTCATGAATTGTATTTAATGTTTTTATAAAGATATAAATAATAGAAATGAAATTAGCCGCAGCGGTGCTATCATATTGAAACTTCTCCGATGGAGTAGTTAATACAGAGTTATAATTTGCAACAATATCTTCATTTTTAATGATTTTTTTTAACATGGGAGTGAGTTTTTTATATACGAGTTTTATATGTGACTAGTAAAAATAGTGAAGTGAAATTAATGATTTCTTTCTTATGTAAGTTTGCATTTTAAACTTTCCAATATATAACTTGTTAATTCCTTTTTTTTGACGTAATAAAATTGTTACCAAATTAATTATTAGATTTCGTTAGCCATAAATATACATTTGATATTCCTAATACAAAAAATCATAAATAATCTAAAAATAAAAAGCGTTCGATTTTTTTCGAGGGGGGGGCGGGCTCATAGCATAATTATTTAGTTGTAAAGAAGAAAGAGTTGAGAAAATGTTGAAAAGTTATTGAAGTCGAAAAAGTTATATCGACTGTCGAAAACGTTTGTAAACAACACTTCTCTAAATAAAATAAACATTGTAAAATACGTAATAATTTAAAACCATTAGTTTTTTTGGGGTATGAATTAGCTAGAATAATTATGCAGTCTTAAAATAGAAAGTGTCGGTAAAATGTTGAAAAACGTTTTGGGACCCATACTTTGCAGAATTGTTAGAATATTTGAAAATATTCACTCTGCATAATGAATAATATTGTTGCAGAATATTTAAATTATCTATCCATTACCTGAAACGTGATATCATTTTCAAAAACTTTGTCTTGAATAAAACTATTTCTTCAGTATTTCGAGACTGTTTATTCTGCTACTTCCCTAACAATTTCAATCGATATTTGTTCAGCATACGATTAAAAGCAGCGGCGTTGTAATGTGAAATGAAGCTTATCTTCATTTACAGCAAAGTGACACCATAAAGTAATCCTTAACACTATTAGTCCAAGAACAAGCCTTCCGGATTATAGTTATTGCACAGTACTAAAGCCAATTAATGCGAAAGTAACGATACTTCGTAGAGGCCACTCTACTCAAAGCTATGGCTTTGTATTTATGTAAGGCATTTTCTACTAGTTCCCTGTTAAGGGAAATGCAATTTGGTTAGGAATAGTCTGCAGTGTACAGCACCCAACTCTTTCAGGGGCACTAATTTAAAGTAAATATTCTCAGGATTAAAAACCTAATAATATTAATGTTCCCACCCCTTATAATAATTATTGATTTAAAAATTTTCTGATCAAGTTTTCTTCTTTCGTAGATAATGGCTATACGTTCTAGTTGCTGCATATATAGGAAGTTCATCTTATCTGAAGTGAAAAGCAGTATTTAAAAATACCCAAGTTTTAACAAAAAA